TTCTTGTTCTTGTTCTTCTTGTTCTTGTTCTTCTTGTTCTTGTTCTTGTTCTTCTTCTTCTTCTTCTTCTTCTTCTTCTTCTTCTTCTTCTTCTTCTTCTTCGGTGCTTCCTGTTTTCATGTTTCTTTGCTAATTTTCAAAATGGAGTTCCTCACATTTCCCTTAAAGAGTTGCATGTGCTTCTAGTGGATGTGTTTTAGACATAACCGGAAACCACAGTTTTACATTCACAAAGCCAAGTCTCTTTTCAAGTCAGCCTTCTCTCTTTAGAAAGGAGACTCATTTTTGTAAAGAAAAGGTATAGTTCCCCATTGTGTTTAACCTGGAACACAATGATCATTAAGTAACTAAGAATAGTATTTATTTATTTTGTAAGTAAGTAAATGTTATTTGTAGACTACCTTTATTCTGTTAAGGTATCCAATGTGGCTTGCAATGTTTGAAAAGTAATATTAAAAGCATAATAAATAAATAAAATGAATAATAATCAGCTTCCATAGTTGGTGCTCTGCACATATAAATATTGAGCAGCATAATAGCCTTGCCGTTTTCCTTTTACTGAATGTGCAAATAGCCTGGACAAAGAAAAATAAAGCCAGGACATAATACAGTATGTTTCTACTTCAGTACAGGAAAATGTCATAGGTTTCCTTCCTTCCTTCCTTCCTTCCTTCCTTCCTTCCTTCCACTCACTCACTCACTCACTCACTCACTCACTCACTCACTCTTTCTTTTTTCTTTCTTTGTTTCTTTCTTTCACACACACACTCTCTCTCCTTTCTTTTTCTTTTCCTTCCTTTCTGAGGCACACTACTTATTTTAAAGGTGTATGGTGAGGAAGGCCCCCCACCTTGAGTTGAACCCAAGTCTCCCAGATGCCAGTAGGACAGTGTCTAGTGGCTCTTGCAGCCCTTTTGAACACATTTTTAATTGCAATTATAAAGTGCCCTTTCTTATGACTGCTGTACCTGATAAGCAGTAAATATGTTCTATCATATATTTTATTTTCATGCAAATGTATGTTGGTACACTGTGTTTTGCTAGTATGTTGTTCACCTCAGAGATGTAACTGAACTCTAAAACTTTCTTTTTCTTTTTTTAATTTTTAATTTTACTAAAATGAATTACACAACATAAACCTACTACCACACAGAAAAAATAAACAGAAAATATGATAAAATACAATTAGATATCACACGGTGCCACCTTCAGGACCAGCATTATACTTCATTCAATCCATTTTCCCTCCAAAAATGCATTGTTTCTTCCCTCGGTGTATACCCCTTCCTTCTCCGAAATGCATATTCCAAAAATACATTCCATATTTTCTTAAAATCATTCTTTTTTTATTGGCCTCTTCTTATTTTCATATCACATCATTTCATCATTAATTGCCATGTCCCATAATTCTCTATACCATTTCTCTAGGCTGAATTGATTATCATTTCTCCATTTTCTTGCCAAAATCAATCTAGCAGCCATAATCATTATTACTATTAAATCCTTATTTTCTTTCAACAGTTGATCCTTATTGACCAAACTCAATAATGCAGTTAATGGGGACATTTGCATATTTAATCCTATTATTTCACTTATTTCTTTAAAGATTTAATTCTATTCTTGCTTTCGTACTTCACATAACCACCACATATGTATATATGTTCCCTTCTCTTTTTTACACCTAAAACTCTAAAACTTTCTGTCTCTGTGAACAGACATTTTTAATGTATGACATCTGTTTGTAAAACCTTTGTTCTGAGCTAGCCACCAAAGCTGTCCAGATGAGCTTTACATCTCTTGCAGAGGAGCTAAGATGTTAAGACAGATTGGTTCTGTTTGATTTTTGTGAATCTCCTAAGTATCCAAGTGCCAAATTTGCTAGCTCAAGACAAAGATTACGACCTGGGATGCAAAATCAGTTTCTTTATACAGTGGTGCGGACGGTCCAATGCTTTTCAATGAGAGAGAAAAAAATCACCAAAAATTAACGAAGACTCAGAACAACACCAAATTAAGTCTGCATACATTACACAAGGTGGACTAACGATTGCAAGCATTAATCTATTCCAATTGGAACGGATTAACCGGTTTTCAATGCATTCCTATGGGAAATGGTGTTTCACTTAACGATGTTTTCACATAACGATTTTTTTAATGGAACCAATTAACATCGTTAAGCGAGGCACCACTGTATATAAAAGTAGGGCTTGACTATCCTTTAGTCCAAAGGATAAAAGTACTTCTGGTTGTTAGCTATTGCTTTCAACAGTGTCATTCAAAATGTATTTTACTGGCCTGTAATTTTGACAGAAGACACAGAACCCTTTATTCATATGTCACACTCAGTAAACTACCAAAGAAGCATCAAAGCTTACATGTGTTCTTTGCTTAAAATGTGAATTTAAAAAGATACAAGTAGAGATTTATAACAATGGATGGATGGATTGCGCAATGATAGTGGCTACAGGAAGGAGATGAGGCGGAGGAAGAAAAAGATAGCAACCCCACCCCTAGGTCCCAAGACGGCTGTGAACATACATGCACTGCCTCCCCCACCCCACCAGAAGAGGTGAAACATCTCCTTCATCCAGTGTTTCTTTAAAATGCACAGCTGGCTGTTTCTTCAGATGACTTCTGTTGGCAGAGTGATCAGTTGAGCATTCCGCACAAGCAGTCAGTGGCCAGGGCTGCTGCCACAATGTATCCTTTCTGCACCTGTAGTGGGGAGTGCCACACTGCTGCTTTTTGCTTCTTTTCTCTACCAGCATTTAAAATATCACACCCACATGGGACTTTCTTCACAAAGCAAGAAGGTCACATTCCGAGTTTGAGAAACAATACCATGGTTTGAAGGAGCACACCTCCCCATATGAGCATCCCCAGGTTTTAAGACCAGTGGGGGGAGGCCTTTGTCTCCGTCCTGCTTCCCCATCCCCAAGCCATGCCTAATGAGGGTATGAGGGAGGGCCTACTTCTGTAGCTGCTCCCTCACTGTGGGCCTGTCCTTCCACAGTAAGGTAGATTGGTTTCTACTTTGTTGTTTTTCTGCTAACAGGCAAGCATGTTTTTCTTCATGTAACTGAATGGGTTGCAGAGCTTGGACTTTTAATGTGGACTGCTGCATTTTAATTTTCTTATTTTTCTCTTTAGTGGTTTTTTTTTAAATGCTTTGAATGGTTTAAATTGGTCTTTTAATATTATTGCATGCTAAAATGCATGTTAATATTTTGATTTGCATCTCTCTTTTTAAAATCATTTTGTATACTACCTGGGGGTCACTGCACTGGGAAAAAGATGGGATAGAAAAAATGAAAGCTATGAATATTGTTTTTGACATTGACTTGTAAATGAAAAGATTCCCAGTGTGGTGTAGTGGATAGAGTAAGAGCCTAGGACTCTGGAGAACAGGGTTCAGATCGCAGCTCAGCCATGGAAACTCACTTGGGGGTGGGGGGTGGAATTTGTAAAACCACTCCTTAAATAATTCACTTACCTTGAAAGCCCTGACAGGGTCAGTCTCAGTCAGTTCTGACTTGATGGCACAGAATACATACACAGTAAATGAAATGAATCTGAAATACATCTCTGGATCTCTGAGAAATGACCAATAGATGTCAATATACACTAATTTTATGAAGATCTTTAGGGTAGCTATGTCAATTTGCTGCAGCAGAAAAAGAAAGAGTCTTATGGCGTCTCAAAGAGAAAAGCATTTAATCATGGTATCAATTTTCTTGGACTACAGTATACTTCATCAAGTGCACTTGGATCAGTTGACAGATTATGATACACACGAATGAAAGGCAAGAAAGAAAATATCGAACTGTAATTAGCGGCATCAGAAGCAAGTGAAATGCGAAAAGTACCAGCAATTATAGCTACTAACAAGCAGCAGTTGGGAAGGAAGATGAAACAAAAGGGAGCCACGTGGTCAATACAAAATACATATTCAAGAGTGGGCAATACCTTTATAGACTATAGACCTTTACAGACTATTCAAAAAATTATAATACAATATGCAAGCTTTTGTGGATCAAGGCCACTTTGTCAGGCTTTTACCAGTGTGCAGTTCATGGTGAGCCAATTAATGCATGTATAATAGAATGTATAATCCATGAGGAAATTGGTTCCAAGCTCCTCTCCCTGCGGATGCTGAAAAATGCAAGTTATAGTGAACACTGTTAATAGTGAATGCTATACATACAATGGTTTCTGGCTCCTGTAATGGCCAGTTCTGGTAACTTCATCTTTAGAAATGCATATTTCTAAGATTTTTCTTTTAGCATTTTTAATATTTTCAGATGACGGATAAGTGGATAATCAGTGACTACTGACCCTGAAGATACAGGGGTCCTACTGTAGTGTAACTAAAAAGTCTCTGTCCTTTTTTAAGCCATACAAGATAGATTGGAATATCTTGCTGAATTCTTTGTTTTTTTTATTAAAACAGCCTAGGTAATAAACTAGAAAACATTTTCTTGAATGTTTCTGGCCTATTGGTAATTACAAGGCAATGCAACACAACAAAACCGCAACCCACATAACTGAAGCAATAAATTGATTTCTCATAGTTTACACTTTCTTCAGATGCTCAGCAGATTTTGCAGTTAATTTTGATTTGTCTCCTTTTCCTAATCAAGGTTATGTTGTTTTTCATCATTTCAGCTACGACAGTCCCAGTCCTACTGCACAGATACGGAGTGCCTTCAGGAATGTGAGTAATAGGAAAGTCTAGGATAATTACTGATAACAGATTGTTACAAAGTAAAACAAGATGTCTGAATATGAAATACATGACAGTGATCATGTGCAGACAAGCATACTGTGACATACAAAATGCACAAACCAGGAAACTTTAGCTACCAGCTTTGGAACAATATTTAGCTGCTGTCTGACATTGGCTTCCTATCCCAGTTTCTTCTAAAACTGGTAAATGTAGTTTATTTCCCATCAGAAGAGATGGGAAATTCCTACTTTAACCACAGTGGCCCAAACACCGTTGCGTAGCTATGCCTTGGTAACTCAAAGATGTGCAAGCGGTTATGAAATTCATGCCAAGGCAGCTGTTATATTAATCAAGTAGTTCCTCAAGTGCAGTTGTGCAGCTAGTTGCACAATCATTTGCAGATTCTGGCATGTATTGCCGGGTGCCTGGGCTTAACCCCCTGAAAGGTATAACTTTACACTGTGCCAAGTGCACTAGGATTGCAACCACTGTGTGTGAAGATACATAATGTGTGAGGCATTTCTACTAATGTTCCAGTCTCTTGAGCAAGATGCCTATCCAGTTCCCACATCCTCAGTTTGAACTCCAGCATCCCAAGTGCTTCTTGATGGCCAGCTGGCACTAACCAGTCACAAAGTGTTGTGCAGGTATTTCATGTGCCCCTCCTTAACAGATTTCTGTATTAAGAAAAAGGATGGAAAACATGGGGAAGGGGACATCTGGATCCCCCAAGCTGCTGAAATTCCATAATGAGGCACAACAACTGCATGACGAAAGCTTCTTTTGGGATCCTCCCTTGTCCCCCAGCTTTCCCTTGTATCCATTTTATCCCTTTCTTTTTATTAAACAGAGCTGTGAAGAATGCATTGCACCTGGGACTCCCAGGATCGCCAGAGCAAAGAACCAAAGTGATTTTTCACTTTTAAAATGATGATTTTATTTTTTCACTTTTGACCAATACAAGTACCTTCACTTCCCATACATGATGTATTCCTCAACATCTATTATGTTAGGTGCCCTGTGATACTTTCATTCTTCCTTCTTTTCTTTTTTGTAAAATAGCTTAATAAATGTTAGCAATAATGTTATCAGAGGCCCAATTACATGGAAAATGAATGGATAACTGAAATGCCCACTGTGTTCAAAACATTATGAGGAAAATGATAAAATGGTGCATGGGTCTATTGCAACCCAGGGTCCTAATTCCAGTAGTTATTGTATCTTAAGACTCAATGTTGTCATGACACAATACTGAATGTGGCTTTCTAATACTGTATTCTGTTGAAAGCGAGAAGACTTGCTACGTAGGCTGTTAGATACTTTGGGCCACTTGCATTATTTACTAGGAGCCCAATATTTCACTTTCTGTTTTCTTGTCCCATTTTTCCTGATGGCCCGATGAGGAATGTAAACTTACATCATGGTAAGCAGTGTACTGCAGTGGTTTTTGTAGTACTACCATACACAATTTTAAAAAAAAATGTGACTCTGATATAAGGAATTTAACATTAAACTGAAGCCATTTTGGAATCAGTTGCTCACCTTATTTGTAACAGGCTCTTTTTGTTTCTTGACCAGTACAGCTACTTTTGCTTCCTGTATTCCTGATATTCCTCAACATCTGTTGTGTTAGATTGATCTAAATAGTGATACCAATTTTTTAAAATATGCAACAGTTTGGAACAGCAGATGAAAATGTGCAGGAGCTCTAAGTAACAAAACAAAAAAAAATCTGAAGTCCAGTTAGCTGCCCCAAATAGAAAGTTCTTTCTGAATTCCAGATAAGCAAGAATATGTTGGGACTTAATCTCCTTATCTCATTTAGGCTCATTAGATTTTTGATTTCTAAACCATTTGCTGCATGCCCCCACTCTTCATTCCTCTGATTCTTTTGCTTCCTCTCTGAGAGCCAAGAACTCCAGCTGTTCTTGCTATGTCTACACTTTTGGGTAAAGGATGATGCACTGACTGAGGTCTGGGGTGGGGTTTGGATTGGGAATCAGGAAGGCTGTGGTTCAACTGAAGTCAGAATGATGTTTGCTTTTCTGTTACTACAAACAAATGCGTCAGTCATAAAAATCCTGGCATGAAGAGTGTTTCAGTGGATGTTTAAAGGAATGGGTGGTTTGTTTGTTTTTGCATCCTGACAACCCAAAGGAGAAAAATAGAGAAAAAATAGGAAATTTTCATTTAGCTTGGGATGACCATGCAGCAGTCGTTTCCACCTTTTTGAAATCTTAAGGGATGTTTCAAGTAAAATTGGAAGGTTTTGGCATCCTTATACTCATAAAGCTGAGAAGAAAACATTCCTAGAACAGAGACTTGCACAGAAATTTAGGAGTTGGCATTCTTTGGGGTCTTTTTTTCCTAATGTGTTTCTTAATCAATTGTGTTTGCTCATTAAAACACAGATCCAACAGATAGAAAAACAACAGAATTGCCTGCCTGTATGAATATGAGAGAGGGGAAATGTGCCCACAGTAGCCTTTAATGGGCTAGAGATGATGTTACTATCATTGCTCTTGTATGTGCTGGTAAAATATATTAGCCACCACTTGTAAATACAATTACCAGGAATAAGTCTCATTGAACACAGTGAAAATAATTTGCTATTAAGTGGACGCAAGAGTGCATCGGAAGAATGTGAGCTATGAAATCTGCAGTTCAAGTGTTATTTTAGCCATAGGCTTTTAAGGCAACCTTAGGCAAGCTGTAGTCCCTCTGCTCATATATACACCATGAGAATAATGATAGCCTTTCCTGACAGCAACCACAAAAATAGTTTTTAAAAAAGTTTATGACATGGCTTTGACCATTTCAAATGTGCTACCTATTAATTGTTGACTGTTCTAAATAATAAATATTTTTGTATTATTTTTTCTTAACTGTGCATATATGTAGTTTTAATATTTCTGCAGTACCCAGGGATAGCTGGTGGTCTAAGGTTCATTTACTCTATAGTAAGTGACCAGAACTTTTTCACACAGGAAGAAGAAATCCTTGCAAACTAGAGATTTATAAAGTCCATTTTTTAAATGCTCCCCTTTCTTAGCTATTTCCTAGCAGCTTGCTTATGTAGTTGCCAACTGAAGCTGGAGGGATTTATAACAGTCTGACAAATAGTCTTTTCACTAAAAGGCATGTCAAGCAGGATATGCTGGTTTGAGATACAGTTAGTCTGCTAGAGGCTATTTTGTTTCAGAGAAACCACCCCAGGTTGGAAACTGGAGTCTACACAATGTGTGCTTTTGTATGCATCTCTCTTTTTTTGTTTTTTATTTATTTTAACAAAAAGGCTGCTACCTGTAAGATTATCTCATGGGTTTTCTAAGCAGATGTATTACAAGCCGTTATATTACTACCAACATTAGGAGAGAAAGATGGAACAAGCAGAAGTAGAGGAGGCATTTGCAGGACAGTGGAAGAAAACATTATCTTACCAAGACTTTTCCCAAAGAACGGTGGTAAATGTCTCTTTTAGTTACATGTTGCTGCCATATTCAGTGTTCTTTGGCATCATATGGCCAACTTTTTGAGTTCCTAGCAGCTTTTCAGTTCAGTCTGGGCTGAACTTGTGTTCTGAACAGCTGCAAGATTAAATTAGTTTAATTGACAGATGTACCAATTACTTTGGTTGATAAGTGAGAATGTTAAACAACATAATTAATTTTGAACAACGCACACTTAATTTGGAAGCTGGTTTGGCTCTTATTGTTATTTTTATTAGGGACTGAAAATCAAACTGCTGAGGTGGCTTTTTTTGTAGCTAACTTGGACTTCATGTTAAATCTTGATGTTCAGCACAATGTCTGAAGTGAAAAAACACTGTCTCATTCTGATTTTTATTAGTCTGAGGTGAGCTTACAAACCATGGACTCTTCACTATTATGGTGCAATATCTGAATTGAGAAAATGTAGCTTATGCTTGTTGTTCCATCTTTATCAAGGTCTGCAGCACGGACTGAACACTGAGAGGATAAAAACACATAGTTTATTTTTTTCCTGAGATTTATTTACCTTCTCATTGGTGCATAGCACTATTCCGGGTGGTGTACATATAAAAACCGGGACAAAAAGCAAAATGATACTGTATAACAAAATCATACTAACAAACAACAAACAAAAAGAAAAAATATATAGAAAAAGTAAAACTGGTAGGAGTAAAAGATGGGCAAGATCAGGTGAAGCTGCCACCAAAAGTCTCCTGGAAGAGATGAGTCTTCAGCAGCCTCCAAAAATTAGAGAGGGAGGGAGCCAGGTGTAGTTTTTAAAAAGTTGGTCGGTTTTAAAAAATAAATCTATTTGAGCAAATTTTCTATTTTTTCAAATGCCTGTTTGTCTGTAATATTCTGTAATGTGCTTAATATTGCTATATTTAGAAAATTTTCTGTAATAAAGGCATTTAGCAATGCATGTCCTTGTGTGTATGACATGTATTTAGGTATGTATCAACTAAACCTATAAAGGTCTGTAAGTGCCATACAAAAATGGATTAAAACATTGCAGTTAATATTTTTAAACATCTACCAGTACTGTAAGTCTAAGATCTAAGCAATTTGTCTAGCAGTTGCCCAGGGTTAAAAGTATGTTTCAGGAAAGTCATTACTGAGGGTACAAACTGGAGGAAGAGGCCTCCCTTGCAGAGCCATAGTGAAGATACAGCTGGCATTCAACCAGTAAGTTTTGTATTCACACAGGGGCATCATCTTATCCCCACCCCACCCCACCCCACCCCCCAAAAAGGATTTCTTGGTGGGTCACATGGCCTTAACCTCAGAATGTAAGAGGAGATGAAAAGATGGGGGAGAAGAGTCCTTAAGATCATGGTTTTGTGTTATGTCTAAGCAGGTTCTGTCCCATCTAACCATGATGCTTACAGACCTGTAAAGGAGAAAGTGCAAGGAAGTTAGCTTTTTTCTGCTATTGCTTGAACCAGTGAATACAAGGATACTAGAAAATTTAAGAAATTACTGGTTTTAGTTTTTAAATTCTGTTAAAATATAATTTAATTAATGTAACTTAAATGTAAATCAAATAGTTGCTAGAACCCTATTGCTATTCACAATGTTTTGTTGCAGCCAATTATAGCTGACTGATGAGGTGCTGGAATGCATCAGTCATGTTCCTGGTCACATGCCTGATGGTACAACTGAGATGCATCCTTGCACCTCACTGATTAGCCATGGCAGGCTACACAAACCTTAGATAAACACTAATGGGATTCAGGCCAGTATAAACTATACATACATTTAACTACATACAGTATGTGAAGCTTTTTTGCATATTTTGGATTTGTGTATACATACTCATCTGAATTGGAGGCATCAATAGCCTGGGTCCTACTGCTGTCCCCTAAATTATGTGGATTATTTAGTAGAAGATGACTACATTGTTTGCACTTCATAGTTTCAAAATATTGCACTAGTGTTAGGAGCCCTGGGAATGGAAGTTGAAAACATCAGTCTGATGGAGTGAAACAGGCTTTCAGAGATGAGGACAGATGGAATAACTGACACTGTGATCAATTTAAGAGCAGTTAAGGATGAAGTGGAAATGAAGCAGACAACACTTAAGAAATAGTCATCTGTTTCTTAAGGCTAAGGTTAAGAGTCAGAACAGTGACTCGTTTGGGCCTGCGTTTATGTGATGACTAAGTGCAATGGAACAGTTCCTGCTTTCATCAAAAACAGGCCTATGACCACTGCAGCAAAGCCACAAGAACCACCAGAGAGAACAGCATTCCCCTGGTAGAATATCAGGAGGCAGAGCTGTAAAGTGAACCGATTCTCCATGAAGCAGTGCTTTTGATAGCATACTCTAGATTTCTGTTCCAGTTGTATCCCTCACGAGGAGCCATGGCGGAAAATTAGAAAATAAGATTTGCACTCTAGAGAATCTGAGGCTTGAAGACCTATTTTTAAGAATAAGTCATATGTAAACAGACACAAAGAGGGAAACATAGTGTTGTGAAAAGCAGTTTTGGTGCCCTCTATAAATACACACTGTATGTGATATTAAAAAGGGTGAAGGGAAATGGATTTCAAGAAAGCTCTTACGAAGAGTAGAAATTGGAGGGAGAGGTCTCCCTTGCAGAGCCATAGTGAGGATATAACTACAACATGGTTGTATTTTGGCTGTGGGTGCTGCATTCATGAAAAGGCACTTTCCTCTTATACTCCCCTGCCTCCTCCCCCAAACACCAAAGGATTTTTTGGTCGGCCGTGTACCCTCAGCCTTAGAATAAAAGGACCTCTTAATTCATTAGTCTCCCAAATGAAATGATGATCTAAACGGATATAACAGTGAAGCTAAATATGACAGGAACCATATGTTGAGTACCTCCTTAAAGGAAGTTAAATGGATTTGAGAACTAAGATTACTCTAGCTTCTCGTTTTTATTAGCCATCCTGTTCACCAAATGTCAGTTTCATTTGCCAGGTGACAGTTGGCATGTCAGTTCAGTCACTAGCACAAGTCAACTCCTAACTAGACATGGGGGTATTCGTATAGAAATACGAATGCTATCGCACAGGTGGAGATAAGGAGGGTTCGCCCCCCCCCTGGGGCCAGACTGTCCACTCACCCTTCTGCTGCTGCTGCAGGTTCAGTGCTCCCTTCTTATCACTCAGCCAGACTGTCCACTCACCCTTCTGCTGCGGGTTCTGTGCTCCCTTCTTACCACTCTGGAGCTCACGGTTGGCTAGCCACTCCTGGCAGGAGGTGGGATGGTGAGCCTCCCTGCCAGGCGCAAGAGTGGCTCGCAGACTGAGTGCCTCCCTGCCAGGCTGAAGAGTGGCTCGCAGACCGAGTGCTTTGGAGTGATTAGAAGGGAGCATGGAGCCTGCAGCAGCAGCGGAAGGGTGAGTGGACAGTCCGGCCCCCAGGGGGGACTCACTATCTCCACCAGTGAAGGGGTATTTGTATTCGTATACAAATACCTGCACAGGTGGAAATAACAAATTCATATATGAATGCCCCCATCTTTACTCCTAACTGCCAACAGGGAAATCCAATAGCATTTCACTAAAAGTAACTATCAGCAAGATGACCCCTGAATAATTGAACAGATGTTTCTTCATAGGACCCTTCTTGATTATAGCATCTTTCCTTTTCCCTCTAATAAAAGAAGGTAGGCAGAAGCCTCCTTCTGTTTTAGCACTGGGACCTTTTTTCTGTTGGTCTGTCACAGCATCATAAAGCTTAAAACAGACAATTGTTTTTAAGGTAGTTGAAAGTGATTTACAAGTGAAATCTATCTCCATGGTGTAAAGGTAACATTTTGTTTCTTTGTGACATCTATTCAAATACGTTTTGCCAGTTTTTTCAGGGATGTAAAATCTGTTTCCCTGGAGCAACAGCAACATCAGCATGTGTTCTATAAACAGACATGCTTCTTTCAATACACCTTCAACTCTCTGAAATAAAAATATTTTCAACTTCAAACAAAGCATTCAGATACATTCTTCTAATCTATTTAATGGTATTTTGTTTCCAGTTATTTGGGGAAGCATATCAAAATTTAGTTATAAAATCCATTTTTTGCTGTATCTCTGCAAAGTGGTCTGTTGCCTCATCTTCTCAGCAACAATTCTACTAAGGATACATTGCTATATACTGTTTATTTTACACTTACTTCCATTGAGTTTTGTGGGACTTGTGCCTGAGTATACATGCATAGTATCCAAGTGCCAGAATTTCACTATGACATGACAGATGCTAGTGTATGATGGACACTTCGATAAGTCTTTATTTGCCTTAATTTACATTGTGTATGGATGGTTCTCTGCACGATTTAGCTGATCTTGTATTATAGACTATCATGATTACAGATAGAATGGCAGCATCTGGATATCACAACAGTGTATTCTGTTCAGTCAAGGTGTATATCCTTAAAGTGTAGGGAGACTTTGATTATTACTGGTAATATCTGAGGAGCCAGTTCATGAGAAAGTGAGTGGATGGACTTGTCTAGAAGGCATGGAAATAACAAAAGCCCCTACAGCTGTGTTAACTCATGATGGACATATATCCAAAAATTAAATTGCATTTAATGTAAGATCTTAATTCTTCTAAAGAACAAAACATGTGACTTTTCTCTGTATCATGTTTGCTTATGGGTCATAATCCTTAGACATAATTGTCATGGTAACCTCAGTATCTCTTAGAGACCCCTTTTGTCTAATGTTCATTTACAATCTCAAAGGGCCAAACTGCTCGATTAGCATTCTTTTATGATATATAGAGGCCCCTAGTATTTGGTTGGCCTTGGTAGAGTAGTGAAAAATCATGATCAATTGGACCTTGTTCTTGACTTCACCATTCTAAATATCTGAAAGTAGAGGGGACAGACGGGATACATCAGTTTGGTCTGTGTATCTCATCAATGGATTAGCCAAACAGACACTGTTTTCTCCCAAGTCTTGGATTTCAGGATGAGGGTCCACCTCTCCTTAGCATTCAAGTTACAGGACAATGTTGGGGGTGGTGTCACTTTATCTAGAGCAGGAAGAGGCAAAGTGTGGCCTTCCAGGTACAGTATTGTTAGATTGCAACTCCTACCAGCACTCAGTACCTTAGCCAAGAGTGAGCAATACTGTGTAAGTTACAGTCCAACAACATCTAGTGATAAGCACCTTTGTTCACCCCTGTTCTACAGCAGATGTCTGTGTTAAGTTCAGGATAAGCAAACAGAACTGTGTAATGCAGATGATGTAACTGTTGAAGATGGGAAACTGAATACTGTAATTGAATATTCCCCAACACTTCTTTTAAAAAGTTGCCACGTCCTAGAACAATTGTATGAAGCAGGGTTCATATGTAGAGGGAGGTTGCATTTATGTTGGAGACCAGTTAAACAGTAGATGTCCCCCATGCAGTCTAAAGCAATACAGTCCAGCAGCAGTGCATTTTCATTAGTCTATGACTGTGAACCTCAGACCAAAGATTGTGACTGTGTTAACTGCATAAAACTGAATTGCAAGAACAGGAAGAGAAACTCAGTTGCTGCTACATAATAACGCTTTCCCGTGAATATTTAACAACATGAAAGGTGCAGAAGTGAATATATTCATGGGTTGCAACATACAGTTTTGTTTGGGCAGTTTTAAAAGATTTGTTATACCTGTGTAAATCCTTTTACTTTGTTTTCACATTAGCGTGTATATTTCATGTTTTCTTTTTTCACGTGTTTGTTTCATTGCCTGCAGCAGCAGCGGAAGGGTGAGTGGACTTTGTTTACTTTGTTTTCACATTAGCGTTTATATTTCATGTTTTCTTTTTTCATGTGTTTGTTTCATTATGTTGTGTACTTGAATGCTTTTGTCTACAGGGAATTTTCATTCCCATTCTCTGAGGCAGTGGGGGTTAAACACAGCTCCAGCAGGGATGTGTGGCTTTCTCACCCAAGGATTCTGCCTGAACCTGATGGACAGTGCTGCCCAGCCCTCAGTTAATAGTGCCACTTATGGCTTTTTCACCTGCCCTGATTAATAGAGGTGACTTGGGTTCTGCATGCTATTTATCTTTATTCTTCCTTCCTTTCTAGTGCCAGGACCAAACCCATCTGCTGATAATGGTATCAGTGTTACAATGATAATGGTAGGCTGGCTGGTTTTGGCACTTGTCTTATATTTGATGAGACCTGCCAACCTAAGAAGATCTATTACAGTGGAAAAGCCATCCAACCTGCATAATGTGAGTGTTTCTTCTAGTGCTTGATTTGACTGGGCTCAGCATCATAGAATGAGGTGAAATGTATATTTTTTAAAAGACACACACAAATCTTTTGAAAATCATGTAAGGTAGAATTGTAATAAAATCATTCTTATTTACCTTTTTACAGGATGTACTGTACTGGCTCAATAGCAGTAATTGTTCCATTCTAATACTGTGTTTACCAAACCACTTATGTTGGAATCTGGCAAAAGCATAGATGAAAGTATTTTGCCACACATCTTGACACTTTCAATAAAAATCAGGGTGGCAGCCAGTGGAAATCCATGATACTCTTACACAAAATAGGAGGCTTCCCTCTTCATTCTAGACCAGCACTGCATTTTGATAACTATTAAAAGATTTTGAGCTATCATGCATAGTTTGTTATGCATATATTGTTTTTGAGGAAGGTGGATCATCTTTACTTAGGGCTTCAGGAAAGTGAAAGAAGATAGATCTATTGCAGGTAACCTGTTGAAACTGGAATCAAGTCCAGACTGGGGCACTGCATAGCTTTACAATTAGGTGTAGTTTGAAACTGGGAGTCTTAGATCCTGGTTTGAATTAAGGGCTGACAAACATGGAAACCTTTTCGTTTCTACCCCAAAAAGACTGATATAAGGAATCCCTTTTCCCTGCCAGGCTTGAAGACAGCTTTGAGACCTGAAGGCTCCCAGTTCTGGATAGCTCACCTGGCTTGGCTACAGTCTGTCCCTTGTGTTCCCAGTTCTAGCTTTGCATTTCTTAGCAGAAACATACTGGAAAATATGTAGGAGGACCTTTAAACTGAGACCTACCTGCTTCTCTGTGGTATGCATTTCTCTTCTTTATTCTAATGAACTATATTCCCAAAATACAGGGACAAGAACCACCAGCTCCACCTGTTGACTAGAGCTTACTCGAAATACTGGACAACTTGCACGACCAAAAGAACGAAATTGACCAGAATACTCGCGAACCCAACAAAATACTGTTTTGTTCCACATATTTAAAATCTGTTTGCTTTTTTTCATTATCTTTCCTAGAAGGCTGCATTTGAATAATGGATCGTATGTGACAGTAGGCATTTTGGTGCGAGTTACTGGACCTAATGTCCTTGCTCACTGCAATTATATCTGAAAGGAAATTAAAATCTCTATATTTATGATCTGAACTTTTTTTTAAAAAATTATTTTCCTACATACTATAAAAACCATAAAAACTGGGCACAGTCCACCAGCAGTGTCTCTGTGATCTTCGTACACCCTTTTTACTGGGGACTCTTACATAAGCTTCCAGTAACTTGCAACCATTTTCTGATCGTCCATTTAATTCTGTTTCATTGATGCATTTTTTATTCATTCTGTATTTGCTGAACAGAATTATTCTGGCACATAAAAGTTCATCTTCTGTTTATTAATATTACAGTGCATCCTTCTCTAATACAATGCAAAATCAAATTATTGCAATGTTAGTAAACTGAAGTCTGAATAATGTGTGCCACATTCTAAAGCAGGAAAACTGATAAATAAAAACAGGTGTCTTATCACTTTCTCTGTAATAGATAAAATTCAGTTCAGAGCCACCATTTCTAGTCATTTTCTGCAGATGTGGGGTTACAGTGTATTTTCACATTGGCAGAGGGGCAGGAGTATGGTATGTAAAAGGGAGTGCGCTTGTGAGATTCCCTTTTCCCATAGTGTTTAGAAGTAGCAAGCACCATCTGTGTGCAATGGACTATGCCTAGAACTCCAGATAAGAACACATTGATACAATTTATTAAAACATGGGAAAGATCACATATGGCAGACACATTCCTTTTTGAAACCAGTGCAAGAAGATTCACCCTACACACTTACCTGTTGACCTTTAATGCCAATGTTTCACATGAGTAGCTGACTTTCTTATGGCTCAATCCTGCTACACTGTCAAATGCTTTGAATAAAATTTATCAATTAGTGGTTCAGGGCAGTATTCTGTAAGCTGTGAGGTTCTATGACCACTGCTAGAACCATAAGGCCATTGTGAGTCTTTAAAGTTAAGTTTAATCCTAAACTTCCTTAGAGACAGCTGTTATTAAGATCAGTGGGGTTTATTTCTTTTCATTTCTCAAGAAGTATTTGCGTGATTTTGTAACACTTATGTCTATGTAATAACAGCATTCAATTATTTATTTTTTGGTTTCTAACATCTTCACTTTTTTATTTTTGGGTTGCACCTTTAGAGCAAAAGTCCAGCTGCAATGTTTCTGGATGGCAACCAGCAGCTGGTAATATACAGTTGTAATGATCCACAAAAAATAGAAAATGCAATTTGCATATATTATAAATTATTATAGTGGCTGATTGCATTATAAAATCATGTTCTCACCTTGACTATATTCACAGGTTTTCCTTCTAACATATGAAATATGTTAGGGTCACTTATAAGATGATGGATTACATAAAAGGAATGAGTTACAGAGAGGAAATGTTTCACATTTTAGATTTTCATGCCAATAAAATAATGAATGGTATTTCCAGCAACTATAGAGTAAGGCAGTGGCACTGCATATTACAGAAAATGAAGAGGTAGATTGAGGTGACAAATTCTGAGCTATACCATTTGTGATTGCAGGATGTAGTGGGTATTACATTTCTGAATGTGCTTCCATGTAAAATGTCTCCTGCTAATAAATTAGCACATCAGAGTTGACTGTGCTAATTTATCACATAAACTGCAGTCCTTGCTTTGCTTGTAGAGAATCCAGTATATGATCCTTCCTTTTTTAATCTCCAGTGGCATAATCCAGAACTCTGCAACATAATGGACTTTAAGAATGGAAATAACTCGTATCCCCCCCCCCAAAAAAAACTGAGTTTCTTCCCAAGAGGACTGTAGCAAACTATCAAAATTATACCCTGTCTCCCCGAAAATAAGACAGGGTCTTATATTAATTTTTGCTCCCCCCCCAAAAAAAAACCCCGCATTATGGCTTATTTTCAGGGGATGTTAATCTCAGAATAAAAATCTTAAACAAGAATATTCTCAGCATGTTTTGGGAGATGCCGTGACAGTTAAACTAGTTCCAATGAGTTGGGTGCAAAGCTAAGTGGTCTACTACAGGTCAAGAGGCTATGTGGTAGACTGTGGGGTTGATAGGACACCCTCCCCCCATCAGATACAAATTACACTGGTGGGAATTCTGCTAGGGAAGGTAGGTCTGTCTAATGGGGGAGGTTTCATGCAGCCCTGTCCTACCATAGCCTGCTGCATTTAGGAGGTTCCACCAGTTCTCAGTAGAGCATTCTCAGGGGGCATAGGGAGGAAAAGGCACAGAAGTCAGATTTAACCAGCCCTGTTACACAGACAATGCTTTATTCTTGATCCAGTTCATTATGATTCACATATATACCACAAAATAAATATATTCTAACAAGGTTCTCAAACTATCTGTGAACTTTTCACTTCTGAGTGTATGGTAGAGGAAAGTGTAACAAATTCGCACAACTCCTTCACAGTTCAATTAAGACAGCTTAAATCAATATATTTACATTCATTTTTCCCCAGAGCTGCCATATAGATCCATCCAGTCCTAACATTTGCCCACAGTACGCACTAGGACAGTGTTCTTCACATTTTTTAGCTCAACAAAACACGTTCCACGTTGATTCAACTGCTGTGGAACTGCATTCAGAGTTTGGATAAGGGATTTTGGGAGATGTACTCCCCCCAAAAAGTAATTTTTCTAACCTCTTGACTGTTAGGATTTTGAGAAGGGATCGAAGGTGTATATATGATTTGTGTAGGATGCTGTTTGAATCTGCTGAGTGTCATTGTTGCTCTGTATGCACTAGCCTTTTAGAGCACATTCTCCGTAAAGTGTGAGGGAAGATTAATAGTAATAATAGATAAATACAATGGAATGTGGGCAGACTTTCAAGTAAGTTTATTCTTCATCATTGGTCTTACGAACTCAAACATGCTTCCAAGGAATCCCAACTTGCCAAATAGTTGAAAAACCTACTATTTTTAATATATAAATGAAGGAGACAACAGGTCTGATCAAGATAAAGAATGTCTACTAATATCTAGTGTATGTTTTGAGGTCGGTAAATTATCCAATAAGATGACCACATTCCATTTTCCTCTTGCTCCACTTAATATGTACATGAAGGGCTCTGTATATAGTTGGGAGACACTGCACAATGAACCCTGTATTACAATAAATTTTGTTTAGTGTTAAACTTCTTTAGGTTTAAAAGTTCTGAGCTCAGCCAGTAAGATGCAGAAGTTAGAGCTACTTGACAATAGAAAAAAGCCAGTTTACAATTTATACATTTGCTTGTAACATTTAGAATTATGTTTTCTGCTTTAAATGAACAAACCAGACACGATGTGAAAGGTCTATGGTCAGGACTTCTTCCACTTTTTAAAAAAAGTTATAATAACTTGTGAGGATGGCATTAGATTAGAGCTACAATGTGGTGAGTGTCTTTCTACAGTAGTTGTTGCTTGGAATGTATCAAAGTAGTCACTATGCTACTTTGTTTCCCAAAAGTAGCTGTATTTTGAAAGCAAATGTATCTGTTTAAAGTAATGCTATAATAAGCCATGGCCTGTGATACTAAACACATCTGTGCAGTTAAACTGTATTCCTGTAACTATAAAAGTAAGTTACACTCAATGTAACTACAACAGTTACCAAACCGTTACCACAAAAGGAGGAAAGGTATCTATTTCCTTAGTATAATTTAGCCCATTTATGCCTCAATTATTGCTAAAAAGGAACTAATTACAAGCAGTGTCTTATTTTTAACAAGTACCTTCCAAGTTCTGCTGTAACCTGATACTGCCTGTTCCTTTTTCTTAAATTAAACCACTTCCCTCCTGCTAAGTAGTTTTGAGGGAGATTTTAATTTATGGAAAATCCTATGGTGAAAGAGGATTGCAAAATTTTTCCAGCCCTAATCAGATCGTACCTAACTGCTTCTGTTAACTGTCCAGAAAACATGGGAATTCCTGATTAATTTTCTCTATCACATTTCCATATATGTCATATATGTCTAGGTGCCAAAATGAAACTTTGCATCTGTTTATAAAGTATTAGTATATCACTTTGCCTTATTTTAGAAGGATAATTTTCTGGGGCAAAAAAGATGCGTAATATGATGTGTAAATTGGTGGTTTAAATCATCCGAATCATGCCAAACAAAAATCATATTTGTGCCATTTAGGATTTCCTGTTAATATTTTGCTAAGATTTGGTAGGGGATAAAGGGCTTGTACTATGCACTTTTTATTGATCTAAATAAAAAGTAACCGTTAGTAACTCTTTGTGAATGTCTGATTTTATATATACTGAGGTTCTAGATAGCAATGTGGAAGGAATAAAGGAATACCAGTTGTCTTGCTAACTAAGCTCCTCTCCCTACCCATTTATTTCAGAATGTGCTTTCTTTAATAATACCTGGTCCATTTCCATGTTTTACTATGCAATCTGTTTACCACAGTCTTTGAGTTCTGGCACAAACTCATACATCAAAGACAGGCAACTTGAGGGTTGCATGTAACTTTCAGATGTAAATTCTCTTATGTCTCATCCCTGCAGACAATGCTAAGAAGCTGAAAATTTCCCTTCACCAAAAAGAATGTGCAGGATTCCCTAGCATTCTTGATCAATGTTCTGAGGTTGATATTTTCTATATATTTGTCAGGGTTCCCACACACACACACCTTTCCCCCATATCTCTCCTTTTTGCACAGAATTGAGCAACTGAATTGTACAAATTGACCTACATTAGGATGACTGTTGCTTTATGTAAACTTGAAACACCAAGTGGGTTGTTTGTGTCTTTCTTAGCCATCAGCCACTCTCTCTGTGTGTGCTTTGCTTCTTAAAGGGAAAAAAATATACAAAAGACATTTTGCACAAATTACAGAGGACTTGATTGGAATTCAAAGGTCTTTTGGCCTTGGTTGGAAACAAGGAATATTGGGTGACTTTAACATTTTCTAGAGAGCCTAAATTGTTCAGGAGCAGCTAATTCATACCTAATTCAACACTTGGACACTCTTTGCAGGATGTAGAACCCTGCTTATATTTCTATAAATATAAATCGGGCACCAGCTTGACTTGGAGGAACAGATTCCTGTTTTCCTTGTTCCCTTGACCGCAGGAAAATTGTTCTTTTCAGCTGAGAGTCAAATTAAAGGTTACCTGTTAACCCACTGCTGGCAGGATAGCTCAATTTAAGCATCTGGCTGTGGAGTCAGAAGTTGTGTGAGTTCAATTCCCCAGTCTGACTATACATTCCCAGGGTGCCTCCAGAAGGAGGGAATGGTAAACTACTTCTGAGTATTCTCTACCTGGAAAAGGATCACCAGAAGTCAGAAATGATTTGACAGCACAGGATGATAATGACTACCCCACTGGTCTTGGGCAGGACTGCAGGTATGAGAACAGAATTCTTGCCACTTTATCAATTATCCTTCTCATCACAATATAACATTGGCCCATTCACTGCATTATATCACAAAAGGAGATCTCCCTCAGGTCCTTACAATTTTAACTTTTGGACCTTTGTTCCTGTAAAAAAGAAAAAGAACAAATAGCAAGGTCCCACACTAGTCTTGCCCACTGCATAGCTTCAGAAGAAATCCATTGGGATGAATGCAAACCCCTTCCTTCAAAAGGTTCCTCCCCTCCCTATACAGGGTGATACAGAAATAAACTGCACTGGGGCTTAATTCTACAGATGTACTAAATTGCAGCTTTAAAGCTGTATATTTGCACTTAAAGAAACAACCCAGTAAACTTATGTTTTACACTATCTTCCTACAAAACACTGGCTGAAACCCCATTGTACAGTATTAAACCATGCAACAGGGATGATATTTGGGGGAAGAAAATACTTTCTCAAGCACACAAACACCCAGTTTTCAGGAATCCTCTCCATCCTGGGGCAAACTTGTAGAACAGGAGGTGAAACCATTTAAAGCTGGGCAGGCTCTCAAAAGTGTTTTATTGCCCTAAAATGGCAGAGGCATTGCTGTCGCTGATTATATCTTTATAAGGATGTCAACCAGCCATCATCTACCAGTACTTGGTACCAAAAATTCACAAACTACTGTATCAAACATCAATACAGTCACAGTTGGGATCTCTGGATATGTGGATTCCATCCTCAAACCTCATGCCACCAATATATCTAGCTATGTAAGAGATAACACAGACTTTCAAAGGAAACTTTAATTCACTCAAGACCCCTCTTAACAACCCCATGATGGACGTAGAAGCTCTCTACTAATATCCCACACAATGACAGACTACAGGCTGTCAGGAATACCACTCAAAACAAGGATGAAGCACACCTTGTCCCCACCCTCTGTGATTTTGTGCTCACACACAACAATTTCACCTACAAATAAATACTACCTCCAGATCAATGAACAGCCATGGTTACACACATGGCAAATATATTCATTGCTGACCTAGAACAATTTTTAACTGTTGTACCCAAAACAACTGCTCTATTTGAGGTACATAGGTGCCTTTTTTAAAAATCTGGACCCACGGAAAGGAAGCTCTAGAGAAATGAGACCATGATTTCAATAATTTTCATTCAAATATTAACCTCAGCTTGGCCCAGTCTACAGAAGTGGATATTTTTGACCCCACTGTGAAGGTAAACATGGACATCTTAGCACTATGCTTTATGAAAATCCAAGGATTTATACATCTACCTGCATGCCTCCTGCTTCCATCCTGAAAACACCACTAAAACTATAATTTAAAGCCAGCTCCTCAGGTACAATCACATCTGCTCAGACCCATAAGATACAGACTCCAAACTCAAAGATTTACAAAATGCATGTTTCTGACTACTATACTCATCTAATATGGTAAAGAACAAATTACACAGGCAAGATGAATACTGTACCAAGAAGCAACTTACTGCACAATGCACCCAAAACGATAACAACCAAACACCACTAGTAACTGCTGAAGCGAACCAAAGTGTCCCCAGAGCATCCCTAGCTTCACCCCTAAGAGCTCTGTTAAAGGCTCCCACTTTTTCAGCCCACAACTGAGACCACTCACAGGCATCATAAATGATCTCCAATGCATTTTTGAGAGGAATAATTCACTCTCCCTAGCACATGGTGGCAAGCCTATACTTCCTTACAATCTCACAGTCTCAAGATACTATTGGCACACAACAAATTACACAACAAAGTTACAGGGATGTGTCTGTGTTGTGTAATTTGTGCCATCAAGCTGCCTACCATGTCACAGTCAGCTTGATGGCACACCACAGATACAGAGATGTACTATATCTGTGTTGTGTAATCTCAAGCTACTATTGGCACACAACAAATTACACAACATCATCAAGCTGTCTGCATTTATGGCAACCCTATGAATGAGCAATCCAAACTGTCCTGCTCTCAGCAGCCCTACTCAGCTCTTGTAAAATTGAGCCTGTGGCTTCCTTTAGGGAGCAAATCCATCTCATCTTTGGTCGTCTTCTTTCCCCGCTGCCTTCCACCTTTCCCAGCATGATTGTCTTATCCAGAGAATCCTGCCTTCTCATGATATGCCCAAAGTATGGCAGTTTCAGCATTTTTGCCTCTACAGACAGTTCAGGCTTGATTTGATCTGGGACCCACTTATTTGTCTTTCCAGCAGCCCAGGGTATCTTCTTCAGCACCACATTCAAAATACTAAATGCTTTCTTGTCAGCTTTCTTGACTGTTTTCACATCATATACAGTGGTGCCTTGCATAGCGAGGTTAATCCGTTCCGGATTAACCTTCGCTATGCTGAAGCATCGTTGAACGGGGCAGGGAATTCCATTGGAAAGCATTAAACATGGTTTAATGCATTCCAAATGGGCCGAATACTCACCGTTCAGTGATGCTTCTTAATGGCCGGCAGCCATTTTCGCGCCCTCCCCTCGCTTAACGAGGGCGCGAAAACGCTGCGCGTGGCCATTTTGGGCCGCTTCCGGGCTTCCGGCGGCCATTTTGTCTGCCTAACAGCTGATCGTCGGGGCTTCGTTTTGCGAAGATCGGTAAGCGAAACCCTTACCGATCTTCGCAAAGCGAATTTTGCCCTATCTAAAAAACGTTGAGCGATCGCATTAGCGATCCCAAAAAAGGGATCGCTATGCAATTTTGTTGTTGTACGGTGCGCTCGTTAAGCGAGGCACCACTGTATGGTGATCAGGAAGACAAGAGTGGATGATCTCGGTCTTGGTCTCCAATGATAGACCCCTGAACTTCATGATTTTATCGAATTCCTTCATTGCTGCCCTTGTGAGTCTCAGTCTTCTGATTTCTTAGCTGCAGTCTCCATTGGGGTTGATGACTGAACCAAGATACAGTGGTGCCCCGCAAGACGATGTTAATTCGTTCCACTGAAATAGCTGTTTTGCAAAAACATCATCTTGTGAAAAGCGTTTCCCCATTGGAATGCATTGAAATCCATTGTCTAGCGAAAATCGCCCATAGGAAAGCCCTTTCGCGAAGCGTCGATCAGCTGTAAAAATCGTCGTCTTGTGAAAAACGGTCTGCAAAGCACGGACCAAATCACTGTCCAGCGAAATTCCCCATAGGAAAAACCATTTTGCGGATCACTATAGCGATCGCAAAAAGTCATCGTCCTGCGGATTACCCGTTTTGCGGGGTAATCATCTAGCAGGGTACCACTGTATACAAAATCTCCTATTTAAATTTCTTGTCAACACTAAAATTACGCAGTTCTTCCGTAATGATGGTTGCCTTCTTAATGTTCAACTGCACTTTGGCACTTTCTTCTTTCACTGAAAGTCATTTCAAGGCATTACTGCTTTCTGCTAGTAAGATGGTGTCATATACATATCTTAAATTATGGTTCTTACACTAATTTTTAAATGTGAAATACCACAAAAATTATGTTGTTATCTGCAGTCATTTTCCATAGCCAGGTTAATTCCCAGCCAAAGCCACCCTTCAAAGGTAGTGCTTCTTATTACCATTATCTTGTTTCTGCTGCTGTTTCTATAGCCTGAGGTTCCTTTAGCTACTAATCATTGTTGCTGTTTATAGGACAAAGAAAATAACTAATTGCGAAACAGAGGACTTAAGTCATCATTACATGTGCAATGCCACACTTACACAATTTAGTTTGAATCTCCTGTCTCTTTATTTTAGAGCCCTGTATGTTTTGCCATGTAGTCTCTGTATTCTCACTCTTATGTCAAAAACAATGGAAGCTTTCCATGAAAGCTCACATTCAGATATACCAGTTAAGTCTTTAAGGTACCACAACATCTTTATCATCTTTAT